GGCTTGCGCCACTCCGCCGACTCGCAGGGGAAATTCGAAGTCCACGGCTGAGACCTTTTGCCTTTTGTGGGGAACCGCTTGAGGCGCTTATCGGGGCATCGTTTGGGCCTCTCGGGGGCCTCTTGGAGCCTGTTGGGGATTTGTTGGGCGCCTGCTCGCGGTCTCGGAGGGGTCCTTGTGGGGCGGAGGGCTTGAGTGCTCTCCCCTTGAGGGGAGCCCCCGCGACATGTCCACGAGCGTTGCTCCACGCCTGCAGGTGTCCAATGCCCTCACCAGTGGCTCTTCAATTCGAGGGAAAAACACGGCATAGACAAACTTTCGGAGCCCTGCTCGGATTTCTGTTATCGTCGTTGGGCCCTCCTACTCGGAGAAACACGGCGCATATGGCGCAGCCACCCCGGCGCGCCCTGCGTGGCAGGGAGGGGGTCCAGCGCAGATCCAAGAAATCCGCGCGGAGTGTCGAAAGCTTGTGTTTCTGCAGCGTGTCGTTCCTCTACCAAGTGGTTCGGCATCCGACGCCCTCGGCGTACAGATCTTCGTGGTGTGCCTGTTCTTCCCAGCCTGAAGCATATCTCTGTCCCTATGATTCTTACCTCGATGACGATCTCAACGATTCCCTCATCCTCCGAGGGCACATCCATGAGATTGTTATCGCCTTGGACTTGCCGATCTTACGGATTGGGAATGGTTCGAGGCTGCTATGCCCCACCAGAGTTTTTCCTCTGCCGATGTCGGCCACGCGCAGAGGCGGCAGAGGGAGGGGGGAAGGGTTCTTAGAACCACTTCTGCTTTGCTTCTTACAAGGCGCGGCCCCCATCTGCAGATGAAAGGCCGCTGCCTTCCAAGAAGCAGGCTCCTTCTAAGAAGCTTCCCCCCTCCCCCTGCCCCCCTTGCGCGCGCCGCCAACAACGGCTCCTCGTCTGTCAAGGGAGGAAGCGAGACCGAGACCGCTGCTCGTCCTGGCGATATTTTAAGCAGAGCGCACCCCAGGAGATGTCCCTCCCGTTCCTCCCATCTGATGCCTTCGCCGTGCAGCAGAATCCGGGCGAAGGCTGGCAAACCCGTGGCTGCCAGAACGGAGCTCCGGGGAATTGTTTGATTATTCCGGGAAGCAGCCCGCTCACTATCTAGCGCGCCGAGCTTCCTTCCGGGAGTATGCTTTTTTACTTCTTGGAAGACCGTTCTAGCAACCATGGGTTCAGAGGTGCTCGCATATACCTTCCCCCCAGACACGGCTTGCATTCATGAGTGGGCTCTCGGTCTACTCCTTGGGCGTGCCTGCGGGCGGATGCGGCGCAGGCCGGCAGCATCTCAGTGCAAGTGGGGTGAGTCACGGGTCCGCCTTCTCCCCCTCCCCATTCTCGCCGAGCGCGTTCCACTACTCACAAAGTGCCTACTCGCGAACGTCCGAAATATACAGGTCTTCCTCTATGTAATATTATCGTAAATCCACCGCGGCGGATCCAGGCAATTTGCGGGTAGTTGATTTGCGAGTAGTGAAGCACGCCTGTCCACATCCCTCGAGCGCGGACGTGTCTGCTGCATGCGCATCGTCCTATTTCTCTCCTCTGATGCCCTCGCCGTGCAGCTCTTCACGGCGTGCCTGCCCCGCCTGCCGCCGAGAGGCGCTGCTGCCCGTGCGGGACCCCCTGGTCGCCCTGCGCCGCGGGCGGCTGTGGGCCCCCCCCCCCTGGCCTCGACGACTCAAGGACGGGGCCTGGCAGGGGCGGCATGGCCCCCCCCCCCTTGCGGGCATGTCCTCCTGCAGTTTTTTTGTTTTTCGTCGGCGGCGAGGCGGCGAACTCCGCTCCAGCGAGAAGCTAGAAAGGGGCACGAACTAGCGAATTGGCCGGCGAGCAAAGAGGGGGGGGGAGGGACGGCCGAGAGGAAGGAAGGACTCTCATACGCCGAAGAGTTCGACGATGAGCAGCCGGGGGGGGCAGCAGCAGCCAGGCGCGCAGGGCCAGAGCGCAGTGGGCGGCCGTGGCGAACCACGGTGGCAAGGGTGGCGGGAGGGCGATTGCCAGCAGCTGGAGCTGGCGGGCGGGCTCACGTGTCTTCCTACAGGCGGATCTTGAAACAAAAACCATTCATTCATCGTCAAGAAAAAGTCAAACATAGTCGAAACATCGACCCCGGACGATTTGTTCAATTATTTATGGGTATTCCTCCTGTAGAGGACGTGCCCAATTTGAGGCAAGACTCGTGTGCATATCCATTGCAGCATGGTGTTGCAGACTCCCTCCCCCAGAAGCCCGAGGTTCAGAGGAGGAATATGTACCGAAACAACCACCCTTCGCCCGTTTTCCGCTTTTTGGGGCCTCCTGGGAGGCCTTCGTCGCCATCGCCGGATTGGCCCCGAAATCCTGGTCAGAGCGCAGCCCGGGAGAGAGGTTTGGGGAACAACCGTATGGGTACGCCTTGGTGCTCCCAGAGGCGCAGTGGATATGGATATGTAAGAAGCTGGCCCCCAGAAGCTCGATGTTTGTCCATATCCAGGATGCCTCGGCCTCGTGGCGCCCCCCCCGAGAAAGTCCAAGGCGCACCGGATCTGGACATGACTCCTGCCCGCACCTCGGGCCCTCGAGCATCAGAGGAGAAATATGG